TTACTAAAATAAATCAACTTTTTGATAATATTTTAATTATATGACCAGCACCTGTATATATCATAGACTGTATATTACGTGACCGATGACGTCCAAGCTTTGTATATCATGAAATTTTGGCGCCAAATGATGCTGAAACATGAAGGGGGCGTAAACTGTGGTGCTGTGAACACACAATTATGTATGCAAGCATACTGGGCCGTATTCATAAAGATTCGAATAATCCTCTCAGAAAACACTTAATTTACCTTAAAAACTTTTACGTAGGAGTCTTAGCTTAAGAGCGATCAGGGACTGATCTGAGAGCAACTCTGAGCAAGGAAAAGACAAAAACTTTCATCTTAGTGAGGAGGCGGTGTTGACCCCGTTGCTATGTATGACACAATCTTTTGAAGACTGCGATTGGTTGGTTGTCCAAGAAGGAAAAAAGGAGTGATTTTAAGTATAGGTTCTATTCTAAGCCTTCACTTTGGAAATTACATGCATAATATTTCCTATTTGACAGTTCTCTCTCTCACACACACACACACACACACACACACACACACACATTATATATGTGTATAATAATCCTGTTTTTTATTTACCATGCTGTTAATTTCCTATAAGGTATTTGAATGACTTAGAATGATAAAAATTGTTCCACTCTTTCCAATTACACTGATTGCTGGCATGTCTATTTAAGTGGTGGTTTGAATGTTGGTTTTAATGTATCAAACATAGAATCAAAACCAAGAAGGGCCAGAAAGCCCAACTGGACAGAGGAACAGTGTTTACTGTTAGCCCAGTTAGTGGACGAACACAAGGCCATTCTAAAAGGAAAATTCGGGCCGGGTGTCACAGCACGGGGCAAGATGCAGATGTGGGAGCGTATAGCACAAACTATTAACGGTTCATTCTCCCTGCTTGTGCGGTACCAGGGAACGTCTATCTGCCATTTTCTCCTCTACTAAAGAAACTCTTAAGCCTCTTAAAAGTCCTCGTCCGTGCTCCTAACAATTTTGACCTTAAGACCTCTTTTAAGGGTTAAGATGCTTTCTGAATGACTTTTTTCTTTACTAGGATTTTTCCGCCCACATTTCTAAGAATTTCCTTAGAATTTTGTCACTAGGAGCTACTCTTTGCATTAAGATTTTTTATGAATAGGGCCCTGATTTTTACTGCATCTACTCCAGCTGTATTTACAAATATGTTGCAGCTGATTGACACCTCTGACACGCCCACCAAACGCAAAGGCCGTTGCCCAATGTTGCACAATGTTGATTGAAAAACTGTTAATTAATAAGTCATTTACAAAGTTCGAGAGATCCCAGCTTTCTGTGCAGCGCTTTTTTCTGTTCTGTGACTTTATTTTATAACCATACACTGGGATGACCAGAGGCAGTATGTGGAGTTAGTTTGTCGCATTCCTGTTATGCTAACGTTAGCGTTACTAAGCTAACATAACATATCACCAGTGGCTGAAACTTTCTTTTTTTTTTCTTTTTTTTTTTTCTTTATCCTTATTTGTAGAGCACTTTTCAAAAACAAGTTACAAAGTGCTTTAACAAGTGTAAAGAATAATACAAAAAAAAAGATAAGAGCATGAAAATTTAATATAAAATTAGTCAAATACAATAAAATAAAAGGGATAAAATAGAGTCAAATAAGATCGGGAAAAGCTCTCCTATAAAAGTATGTTTTAAGAAGGGACTTAAAAGAGTTCACTGACTCAGCCGACCTGATTTCCTCGGGCAGGCTGTTCCAGAGCCTCGGGGCCCTGACAGCAAACGCTCTGTCCCCTTTAGTTTTCAGTCGAGACTCTGGAACAGACAACAGACCTCTGCCCGAGGATCTCAAGGTACGTGCTGGTGCGTATGGGACTAAAAGGTCAGAAATATAACAAGGCGAGAGGCCATGAAGAGCTTTAAAAGTGATCAATAGAATTTTAAAGTCAATTCTAAAACATACTGGGAGCCAGTGTAATGAAGCTAAAATAGGAGTAATGTGGTCATATTTCTTTGTTCTGGTTAAAAGCCTGGCAGCTGAGTTCTGGACAGTCTGGAGTCGATCAATAGATTTTTGGGTTAAACAGGTGAAAAGGCTGTTGCAATAATCCAGGCGTGATGAGATGAAGGCGTGTAAAATGGTCTCGGTGTCCTTAAAAGTTAACATAGATCGAATTTTAGCTATATTTCTAAGTTGATAAAAACATGATTGAACAAGCTTTGTGGTGTGCTGCTCGAAATTTAAATTACTATCAAACCAAACACCAAGGTTCTTTGCCACAGGCTTAATGTGATTTACTAGGGAACCAGCAGATGGCAGTATTTTATTTGCCATCTGCTGGGACCCGATGACCAGGATTTCTGTTTTGTCTGAGTTCAGCTGGAGGAAATTATTTGACATCCATTTTTTAACTTCACAAAGGCAGTTGTTAAGTGAACTCAGCTTTTCAGCAAACTTTTCCACTGGGGCTGCACATTGTTACCTGCGCTCTGGTCTGTTAAGGGAAAAAGTTCTTTTTTCAGGCACAGTAATGTTAACAGAAAGGCTAACGTTACTTGAAGTTAGCTGGCTAACACAATGAGGTAACTTTAATGTTTAGAGTTACTTTAGTCCTATAACGTTACTGTGGAGACAGTCAGGCTCTGCCTTCATACAAGTTAACACGCGGTTTCTGAACGCAGTGTTTGTAGTAAGATGTATGGTTCCTCAAAAAGTAAAAACAACATTTAATTATATAGCACTTTACAGCAACCAACAGGTGTCCAAAATGCTTTACATCAACCAAGAATAAACAACACAGCATTCAATAAAAGACAAGAAAAAACATGACGCATGGAAACAGTAAGCCAGATAAGGTTACCTAAAATCATCTGAAGAAGAGGGAAGTTGTTGTACCACTACTGCTATTAAAAGCCATTCTAAATAAATAAGTTTTTAGTTTTGATTTGACATGAACAACATCCGTTATAGTGTGAATGTCAGGGGGGATAAAAGTTAAATATGATATGAAAACCCCTCCAGTTGTGAGATTTTCAAGTCAGATCAGTTAGAACTGTGTAATTATTATGTTTGTGATAAGTATTTAAAATGTTTATATTTATACTTATATCTGTTGTAATCTGTTTAAATAGATCTGTCCTCTCAAGTGTACCTGAGCGCTGAGTTTCCTCGAGCTTGAAAGACATATTAGTAAGATGTATCCTGAAATTGTTGAAACTATTGATGGATGGCTAAATCTTTCATTTTATCAGCTGTGAACCTAATAAACCCCTCAGCCCTTCAATTGCAGACACAAGTTGCCTCATCTGAAGTGACTGTAATATGTATTTGTAAAGGAATATTTTTCCATTGTGGTAATGAAAGTTGGTGAGGAATGTTCAGTTTTTATTTAAATTTAATATTATTATTTGTTCATTTTGGCAGATGTAGTTTGTGGTCTGGTGAACTGTATTATTTAGCGTGGCCTCACTGATATTTATTATTATTTATTTAAAAAATATCAGAAACACCGGTCCATGTGATCCAAAACGATCATACAGTTGCAACAAAAACTGAACATTATCATTTTTATGAAGAGAGGATTTATTGCAGAAATGTTGGATTAGACTGCATTAAATTTAGCTAAATTTACCAAATAAACTGGTAACTAAGTGTTAAAAGACTATATACATTTATCACAACAATAAACTCTGCCCATATCACACGTTTGTGAGAAGTGTGTACATGGCCTTTGTTTTGAAAACTAATCAAAAGTGATGAGATGATGTTCTTGTTGACTGGGCTAATGGGAAATCTTTATATTTTTTTGTTTTTTTGTTATATTTGCTCTCGCAGGATCAGAATATTGAGTGGCACTACAGCTGTCCAAGGTATGTTATCAATTTGCATATTTCTGTGTCAATTGCTGGCTTGCTAATCAGACATGGATACAAAAAATACTACATTGCTAGAACTGGAGCCAGCAACATTTCACAGTGGATGACATTTTGACATGAAAGCACATATTTTAGCCCTGACTTGAGACATAGGGGAGATATTGTACTATTTTAGAAAAGTGCATTAGTCTAGCTGCAACTGTGAAATTTTATAATGAATATGTATATTTGATGTAAAATTCTCATAAATTTCTTTCAGAAATGATTGGCAGTGATCAAAAGCAAAGAAAACTGTAGATCTATTACAGTATTAAGTGTAAACATCTTTCACTGTAGGCTCTGTTAAAGGCTGTTATATACTTATGATGAGATGGTTGAATGACTCCTTTATGGTTCTTAAATTATTTAGTACCTGACTGAAATTCTGTCTCAACCCTGTTCAGAGCAAAAATGGCACTGTTGAGAAAAAACACAAGGGTCTGTGTTGGTGTGGGAATGTTGTAGAATAGATAGCTATAATGGAATTAGTCGAATTTAAAATATATTTGATTGGCTAACTCAATTCTTAGCCACATAATCTTTCATTTTGATGCAGCAAAACCTAAGTTAGGTTAAAGAAATTCGCAGGATGACTTGATTCTCTTTGCCATAAAGCCAGCCATCCTGCTTAAAACAAGTAAGTGATGCATAATGCAGGTGTTTGCTCAGTTCATCGCTTTACAAATGTTGAACCTATGCAACCAATTCTACTGCAAGCTTGAGAGATACACACGACAGCTGATTGCCCTGTACAGGGAGAAGGCCAAGAGAGCAGAGGCCTTGCAGAGATCCTCAGGATTTATTTATTCACATAATGGTCAGTCAATACAGATTGGGACCTCTACTATAATAGTGAAATTTGATTATGATATTGTCTTGTGATGACTAGCAGTAGTGCTGAAACTATTCTTTGATTAAATCAATTACTAACAAATTCTTTGCTTCGAGGCTTCGTTTTATCCATATAGCACACTGTTTTGCACGGACATTTATTACTGTTGTACACTGCGCTTATGTTGTGTGAACACGACGTGATTAGGATGGCGCTGTTTGCAAAGTGGACGAATAATAGAGAGAAAATAGCGAGGGACAAAGAAGAAAGTGTTCAAAGTATGGGATTATTTCAAGCTAAAAGAAAACAACAACTCTGTAATGTTACAGTCCGTCCACCGTAAAAAGAAAGTTATGTCGCCTCTGCAACAGCACGACGGCACCTGATCAGAAAGCACCCGGTGTTCTGCCAGCGGATCACAGACAAGGTAACAGTAACAACAACTTTAGCATTTAACCGAAACCATGATTGATTGTTGAGTTGAAGGATAGCCAAAGGAAGCCGCAATCCTCAGCTGAAAATGTACACATGTGCGTTTGTTGTTCTCCTGGTTAAGCCGTGAGTTTGGTTTGTAACGTCGCAGTCATGAGTTAACTGGGTGTCGGGGAGCTGCACATTAAGGCTCATGCAGACTACACGACTTTCAGCGTCGGCCGATGGCCGTGCTGTTCAGACTACCCAACTTGCCGTCTTGTGACGGGAGTCTTGATGTCGTTGTGGCGTTCACACTACGTGACTGATCAGTGACAGGTGGTCACACACTATGCGAGCTGACAGCGCTGTGTCAAGAAAAAAGAAAACCGATCCTGCACACGAAACAGCTGTTGTGTGTTATTATAAAGATAGCAGTTATAGAGACAAAGAATCTGGGTGAAAGAATGGATTAGCACACGCAGGTAGCAGGGATTCTCTGCACTACAGAGAGAGCTGGAGGTGAGCTGCAGCCCTAACTAGGAGGATAGAGCCATCTACTTTCAATTGTCATTTCTCATTTGCATTTATTTTTGTAAGTATTCGGTACATGATCACTTTAAAAGCCATTTACAAGCTTATTTTTAAATTCTTGGGCTGCCCTGAACACATGACCCAAGACAAAATCCTAAATTTTGCACAGATTTTATGTGCTGAGCATGACTTTATTTTTTTATCCATCCAAGAGACCAACTCCGTGATCGGTCGCCATACGGTCTACTGACAGTTGCAGAGACACAAACAGAGAGAGATGTACTATAGGCCCTCTCCACAAGCAGCTTACCTGCTGTTGTTACCACAGAATCGTGGGTGGAAAAAGTTCAAAACACGAGCTGTGTTTTTTTGAAAGCGGACAGATAGCAGCCTGTATGTGTCTGTCGCTGTATGATACAGCAAGAGAGAAACTGAAAAGGGCGGTGCAAGCTGGTGTGTGTGCAGCATTGTACAGGACAGAACTGCAGGTGCTTGTGCGAATCTCCACATCCGAAAATTTGAAACTGAATACCAACCCAATGAAGGAATAGTCAAATATTTGGGTCCAGCCCTACTGCACTGGCTTCCAAATCTCTTCTATTGTCATGTTTAAGGTTTTAGTTAGCTTCTATTTCCCACCCACTGTTTGAGTCATTGTGTTTGTTTAAATTTGACTTGTCTTTTAGCAGTTGCAGCTGGATGGATTTGTTGTTATTGCAATCAATATTATTATTATATTCGTAGAACTGTTACACTTTATGGCTTGATGTGCTGTAAAAATATTTGTACAATAATAATTATTTTGATTGTCAATCTAGGAACAACACGAGGTACACATGAGATGCCATCCGACCCTTCGTGGCCTCCCAGTGAACCTGCTAGCGGATGACTGACGTCTTCAAAACCTGCAATGTAAGTACTCAGTGTACTCACAGAAATGTCAATATCAACAACAAGTAATCCATCCATTCATCGTCAACCGCTTATTCTGTGTGACCCTGGTGTGACCCAAATATGGTACCCCATGGATGTTCAGTCTGTGTTCAGGACAGAGCTGAACACCTCTTTTCTCTCAGCTGGACAGGAAGGCTGGAATAAAATACAGCTGCTCGTTACTTTCTATAAATTGAACTAAAAGATGTTCTGTTAGCTTCCTGCTCAGCTTCCAGTCTGAAGGGGAGATGTTTGTTAACCTGCTTCACTTCTCCAGCCGTTTGGGAACAGACTTTTCTTGGTCTGGAGAAGCTGAAGCATTTATTACCTGCCACAGCAATACAGTACTTTTACTGCCAGAATATTTTCCCCCTCTGAGATTCACCGTCACTTTCTGTCACTCGGACAATCAAACACTCTGAGACCTCCAGATTAAAGGAGCTGCTCTGATAACAGCACCTGTCAGGTAGATGTCCTGCAGGGTTTTGGCGGGGTCTTCAAAAGTCTAAAATTTCAAAATCAAAATTTTGTTTTTTCAAATGACAAGCGAATGTGAGGGAGAGTGGCAGAAAGTGATGGTGAAAGTTAGTGGAGGATAAGATCAGTTGTCGGGTTACAGTCCTCTACTGTACATCTTGATAGTTAAATTAAAAAGAAAGGACGGTGTTGACCACGAAAGAGCTGAGGTTAGTAACATTAAAGCAAATTAGGGATGCAAACTAACGTAAGTGCTTTTAAGCTAATGGGAGATTATTCTTTTGGATTTTGATGTACAAATGAAATGCTTATCATAATACAGAAGGGAGGGGCTTCTCATGTTGCCTATTATTTACGTTAATTTCTACAGATGTATAAAGCAGTAAATTAAGACACAAAAGGCAAACATGAATAATCCTATCTGTAATGATTCTGAGGTCATGTGTTTTCCTGTCATAAGGTGGTGAGGCTCAAAACAGCTTGGTGCTGCGCAACAAATGTAAAATTATTGTGGAGAGCATCACAACTAACCAAATTAATTTTCCCAGATCTAATGGTTATAATTCAAACCCAGTAGACTTATTTAGCAAGTTTAGCTTTTGGGGTGTAGTTTATTCCAAATCTGGTCTACATTTTACTATTTATTCACAGATGTGGTAATAACAATGTTCAAAAAGTATGTGGAATTGCATATTTCTTTATTGGGAAAACATAATTTTTTATTATACCGCCTGTGAAAGCAGGTTTTAATCCCCATGGACATTATTTCTATTATTTGTAAATGTACCTGCTTTGCGCCTGCCTCGACTTCTCCCTGCATTCACTTACACACACACCTTTACCTCTGGTCTCTGACTGCAAACATGCCGGCTTTCCCTGCTCCCCTTAGTTTATCCTTCAGCAGCAGGTTAGGTTTTATAAAGTCACCGAAAAGACACAGAACTCTTTTTTTTTTTTTCACCGGTGATCCATTTCTCACGTCAGCAGGTGCACTGCTGCCAGCTTGTTAACTATGTAACTTATCGTCATCGTCCATTCCGGTGTTTCATTGTTGACATCGTCCGATGCCAATTTTGTAGACATCACTCAACCCTAATTTGAATACATTGATTTACTCTGAAAGTAATTTTGTGACTGCATTTCCTTTGTGCGTTTGTTTTTTTAAGTCTTGATAAAGGTCTTAAATTTCATTCATAATGGTCTTAAAAAGGTCTTAAAAAGTCTTAAATTTGACCAGGTGAAATCTGCAGAAACCCTGATGTTGTTCCATTACCTCGCTTACCTGACTAAACAGTTTGCAGTGTGGGACTTCTTCTTTTAAACAATCTTTTATTAGCTATCTTTATTTGCTTAAAGCTCCCTTTATATTATTTAAATAAAAGTGCTGCTGATGGAATAAAATTAAGCATGGTCACTTTTTCCACAAAACACATACAAGTAAGCAGTAAAAGTAAATTTTATTTAGCTCAAGATTCAAAAAATCTCATTAAGAATCTGGAAGTTCAACATTATTGCAAAAAAAGAATGAAAACAAATTGATTATCCAAATTGTTGCTGGTTAATTATCTGATTAAGCAGTCAATTACTTAGTCTATTCAGCTTTATGTGCCTTATGTTGTGTCTGTGCTAAATTAAATGGTTCTTTTCTGGAAATGTTTCTGTAATATAAAGTGTTACACAGTGTATTTTGTTGTGGTTTTGTTTATTTATTTTTTATTTTTTTGGAAGTGACAGAATTTCAAGGACACAGATAAATTGATGCCGATTAAAGGACGAATTCGACAATTTAGGAAACACTCTAATTTGCTTTCTGGCAGAGGTTTGATTGCTGCTATTCTCACATCTGTCTGTGTAATACAACCGGCTAGCTTAGCTTAGCAAAAAGCCTGGAAGTGGAGGAAATAGCAAGTCTGGTTTGGTTCTGTCCTATGGTAACAATATCCACTTACTGGCACCTCTAAAGCTCACTAATTAAAAAGTAGGCCACTATGTTTTTTTGTTTCCATAGAAATCCGTTCAAAAACATTAGTGTTAAATTATCCGGGTGTCATTTTACAGGGATACCTGCAGGAAGCTATGCTATTTCTTGGCTCTGAGACTCCCGGAAACAGCTTCCATGCTACCTGTTTCCAGGGTTTGTGCTAAGCTAACCTGTTGTTGCATAAAGCCTTAGGCTATATTTGACAGACAGTTGTTACTCTCCACAGAAAGCAAATAAGTGCATTTCCCAAAATGTTTAAAGTATTCCTGTAAACTTTAAAGAATTTTGTTTTTGTCTCTTTACTCCATATTAATCTCAGTCAGTAGCCTACAAGCCTAGTTCTGCCGCGAGGTCAACACTTCCTCAGCGAAAACTGAAACTGTGAAAATCAGTTTGAAACCCCCTCACTCCCTCCCTCCCTCCCTCCTCTTCTATTTACATCCTCCTCCTCCGCGGTCACTCCCGTCGCGCCGACCCCGGCTCTATACTTACTGCGGACCACCGACACAAGAGAGGAGGGGAACTATATTACTGAAAAGCCGGGACTCCGTTAGTGTCTCTGTGTGTTTATGTGTGAGCGGACCGTGTAAGCTACTGACTCACTGAGGTCAAGGTGGGAGGTTCGGCCGTAAATTGCTGGATGTGATTGTGCAGCCAGACAGCCAATTTGTGCCCGGTGTTGTTCCTGATAGGAGAGCGACCTGAATGTGCGCAGCTCCGCTGGCAGACGGTAAGAAACGCTTTACAAGGGGTTGGGGGGAAAAAAGACTTTTTCGATTAGGTAGAACTCATAGTAGGCAACTAGGTTATATTGCCTGTAGGGGAACTTTTTTAACCTTTTAATGAGGAATTTATACCTTGTCCTGCTGGTAGACTATTGTGGAAGGATTGACAAGTTTCTGTTGGGAGTAAAACAAAAACTGGGAACCACATTGATTTTGTGTGTGTGGAATTTTGTTTTTGGGTGGATGATTTTTGACACTCAAATCATTTATATATATATATATATATATATATATATACACAAAAAAATATACAACACAGTGTTTATCATCCAGTCCTTTCATCCTAACCAAATTACACTACCAACACATTGAAAATAAGTAGCCTACACCTATAAAATGAAACCACAAATTAAAAAAAAAAAATGTTAAAAGGAAACAAAACAGTAGACTGCTATGGCCCGTGAATTAAAAAAAAATCAAATACCATATATTAGTCTATATAAAACAATATCACAGATAAGAAGATATGAACAAAAGACTTTTTATTAGACCTATAAAAGAAAAGTTTTTCACCTCCTCTCCCTAAGGTTTCTTGAAAGCTTGAATTTCAGTATTTGTCTCAGTCTGGTTATGTGATTTTGATGATAATCCTTGAAGAGTTGCTCCACATGCTCCCTTTTGTACAAGCATTACTCTTGTACAGACTTTCCATATTATATTTCTATTGGAGGATCATTTAGATTACATTGTCATCCCCAGAGGCTCTAACATAATGATGCTTTAATGAAACAAAATCATCTTGCCTCCATTTGTGTTGAAGCAACACATAATATAATACATTTTATGAAGTTCACATTTGTGATACCCTCTAGTGGGCAAAAGGCTGCAAAATGCTATTGTGTTTGGCTTGGAGGCATTCTCTCAAGATAATAAAGCTCAGTTGAAAGAAATGTGCTGCAAATCCCTGAGTAGACTGAAATGTGTGCATTTAATTTCAAGTCTGCTCACATCAGGCACACATCACTTGGAGCTGACTTCCAGAAGCTGCAGTCTCTCATTTTAAATAAAAGATGGAGACGATGCAAAATTACTTCTTGAATAAAAGATGTTTGTGGTTGGTTCGGAGCATCGCTACCGGGTGGAGGTCCCCTCATGTGACTGTGCATTGCAGGATTCTCTCTCAACTCTCTAGTCTGTTAATCGATCAGGAACTCCAGTCGCAACAGATATTCTGGTGCTTTTTTCAGGTGATTGCAAGACAATCACTCCCTCTTAGTATTCCTTTGTGGCTAGTTTCATCTCTGTGATCATTTCTTTTGCAGATTACGTTTTGCAAGAAAGATCTATAGCTAATGGTTTATTGATTGTGTGTCTTAACATTAATAGATAAAGCACAAAGTCTCCCCTTCCCTCAGTTTTAACCTATTTGACATAATACCCGATGTCTAACAGTGTGGAGGTGTGACCTGAGGTGTCACAAATCACAGCACAAGTCATTTCATCATAATTATTGCAATGTCTCTGCGCTGGCTGCTCATTAAGTGTATATTGCCATATGGAGAATTTTCAGTTAAGCAGCTGTAGGTCTGAATGGCTGCTCTTGAGCCAAATTCCTGTTGGTTGATGATCTTGCTGTCTTTCATAGCTTGATTGACTGCCCTTCAAAACAGGTGCAGGCTGTGTTATTTTATTTGTTTGTAGAAGTCACTGGCTGCTTGTTAAAAACAGGTGAAAAGTAGAAAATGAGGAGTTCTGGGAGTGGTTGAGAAGGGAAACAACAGCGAGTATTTTCTACCCCGAACTCAGCAGAGAGCTGATTATACTGCAAGTGAACATCCACATCATTCCCAGTGGCCACGACTCAGTCCTGCCTCTCACTGAAAGAAATGAAAGATTTCTTGCAGGCCAGCTCATAGCCTTAGTGGAGCTGGGGCAAAATTTGAAGTAATCCTATTTTTCTGTGTGTTTGTTTTTTCAGTGGTGTTGGGGGCAGACAAGGCCACTGATGTAATAGACCTGTCAAGTGTCTCCAGAGAGGAGTTACAGAGGAGGAGAAACAGGAGATTACACATGGAGAGAAGGAGATAAGACGAAAAGATGGAAAGACAAGGAAGTGTGTAGTTGAAGGGAGATTTAGGAAAGAAAGGACATTAGACAACGCAGGATTGAAAGAGTGAAATGTCATTTAATAATAAAAAGAAATAAGACCGGAAGCTGTAATGTATTGCACAGCACAAAAAGAAATTACAAGCTTCTCCCTTGCAAGCTTATTTTTAATATTAAAAATATTTAAAACAAGATATTAATATCAAACTCAGCAGCGTAGTTTTGGTGTTTTCTTTTCATTAGAGCCAGTGTGCACAGATTTTTCCTATTTACAAACATTTTGCTTTAAGAGTGGACAATATGGCAAGATTATTTTCTTACAAAGACCATTGTTGTTTGATTATGCATTTTACCCCATACATTTTTAAATATGTGGGCCAGACGCAAAGCCTGAGGCAGCAGTGGGGGCAGATGAATTGAAACGGTAAATAGACTGTTGAATGAGTTCTTTGTTTAAAGGCTAAGGTCGTAATGTCGAGCTCAAAACGGCTTATTAAAACACAAGTAGTTGGCCTATATTCCCCACATATGTTCAAGTGCCACAGTAACACCAAATATTGGGTTAAACACAGAGAACATCACTTTTAGAGATGTATTTAATTAAAAGTTAGTAGAAAAGTATTTGTATCATTAAATGGCTTTACCCTGTGTCATTATCCTCACATATTTATTTCTCCAAATACATCATCCCTGCTGGCTCATTCTGAAAATACTGCTTTTGTGTGCAACCCTGTTTTCTCCCTCCATCAATTCTTGAGTGATGCTATTGCTCACTGTAGCTCAAAGTCAAATTAGACTTTGCTTTTCACTTAACGAATGTGAATCTGTACAAAGTAAATTGAGTAATGAGTTGCATCAGAATAGCTGCTTTAATCACGGTGTAACATTTTGTAGCTCGGAAAACATCTGAGCTGTGAGTTCCAACTCTGAAGATGTAGATACATTTTGTGGAAACACTCCTATAACAAAAACTGGATATTTCATTACAGTCCAGTAAAACAATCTTTCATTCTCTCGACACTAATAACAAATGCAATGTTTCCAGCACAGCCCCATCCTCCGGCTTTCCACCACACTACCTCACTGAGTACATTTACATTTTAACACATTAGAATCATTCCACAAAAGTTTGGGAGATTTGGCTCAACTTTTCTTTTACTTGATAATTTGTGGGAACAAGTGACATTTATGGTGATTGAAAGTGTGACAGGCATTACATTTACATTAACTCATTTAGCAGACGCTTTTATCCAAACATACATACTAGTAAGAGCTAATAGCACGTATGGCATCAATGGGGTAAATACCTAGGGAAGGAAGTAAGGGTTAACAAAAATAGTGCAACCAATACAAGAGAATTGGAAGGGGAAAATCATGAAACACTCTACAGCACAGGGAGAAAATAAGAGTGTTTCAAAGTAATAAAAGTTATTACATTCTCAGGCCAAGCGTATCTTTACTACGATGTGACCTCATAAAATATGACCTTAAGAATTACATCTTAGAAAATCAAATAACCTTTGTAGCCCTGACCTCAGGAAACCATCTGCACTTGTGTATGACATGTATACACAGCTTGCACTGTTTAAAAAAACAAAGTTACAAGGCAATCACTTGTCCTAAGCCTAGCCATGATTTTGCTATGAAATAAACTGTCCGCACAATGGGGGAAAAAATGCAAATTACTTCATTACATTCAGAACTCTCCTGCAACAAACAAGACACCCAGGGCGCACAAAGCGCCTACTGACTATAGAAAACAACTGGAAAAGATGCTTCTCTCCTCAACAACCGCGGCTTGTCTGATCAGGGCTTTATAGAGCTTTACAATTTTTAAATATTTGGTGGAAGATTGGTTTGCTCATAGTACCAGCTGTTGGAATGCTGAGTCAACATGAACAAATACTTTTATTGAGTCTGATCTCTAATTAAGATGCTGTGAAATAGACCAACAAGTGCTCATACAAAAAGACTTACTATTCATATTTTTGGAAAAAAAGATTTTATCATAATTGATGCAAGCTGCAGTCTTCTGTGTCAGTTACAGTGTACATGTAATGCGTCTTCAGTGATCTGGTCTTATTAAGTAAATTCAGTTTAAAGAACAATACTGCTAAATTTGAGCCTTGGCGTTCGCTAGAGTGTGTTATGTGTTAAAATTATGTATGTATTTTAGAGGATGTGATACATTCATATGAATAGATTTGACAAACAATTATATATCAGTGTTTTTATACTGCAATTGGCATGGCAGCAGTGATGATAGATGGATTAAAAAGAAAATGAGCACAACATTATATATGCTGTTAAATGATCGCACATGAGACACACGCGAACGTTTGCATAATTTTCACCACCTGTGTGTTTCTTATTGTTTATGTTCTTAGATTATTATTGTTGCAATGTGACGGTTTTAGCCTGTGCATCAATCCAACCTTTAAAACTATGGTCTTGGTTATTATCACTTAGTTTTTCTTGACTCTTTCGAGTTTTCAGATTGCTTACCGTGTTTGTTCCAGTTATAATGCAAGAAAGACATTACTTTGTGAGCAAAACCACACCACAAGGTCTATTCAGTAGCTGGAGATTAATGTGTTGATTTTGCCTAAAGAAAGAGAATGTTTGTGGTGTGATCACATTACTAAAATATTTGATCTGAATTAGATGTTTTTTCTCAGTTTTATTTTAAAAACAATTTCATTTTAACATTAGTTTTAGCTCAGTTGAGGAAAAAAAAACCCATGAACTGCTCTGGGTGAAACACGCCCCAGTACTGTTTGAAGACTTTATAGTCTGCTCTGCTGATTACTTTAAGCGCAGCAGCTTTATTGAAGCACAACGTTGCAGTGTGCTTTTGTCTAACAGCTTTTTCCTCATCTGGCACTCTGTCTTTGGGGCATCTCTCTCTCTGTTTGAGGTCTCTGAACTCATTTATAAAGGAAACTGAGGTGAGACCAGCTGAGTTTAGTAGTTTAGTAACTCCACAAACATGGCTGGAAGAAAATGGCTACCAGAAAATTCTCGTCCCAAATGTCTTATGTCCGACCAACAGTCCAAAACCCAAAGATCACAGAAAAGCTGCTTGAAAAATTGCTCAAACAATTAATCAAATTGTTGCAGATTTATATTCTGTCAATCAACTGATGGATTAAATGACCAATCATTTCAGCTCTTTTTCAGTTTTGGTGCTGATTTGCTGTAATGCATTTTTTGACATTGCAACATACGGCACATTTGAACATTTCTGCTATGTTCTCTGCTTAATTGTGATTGTTAATTGAGTTTTAAGCAGCCAACATTAACGATCATAGCTGCCTAAACATTTAGTGAAGGACACTTAGCAGACGCTTGAAATGAGATTCTCCAGTTAAACGCTGGCCCTGCCTTCACTCCTGCACACTGCTACCCCCTGTAGCGATTGGACAGACCTCTACGATAGAGATGATGTCTGTTTATGGTTTCCCATCAAGTCCTCCACTGAGTCAAATTAATAGCCCATCTAACCATGTGAAATTGATTCTTGTCCCACAGAGGATTTTAATGCCTTCTGTAGACTGAATAGCTTATTGATTCGAGACTCGACTCATCTTGGATATGTGTTGATTAGCAATGTAGGTCGGAGCCAGAGCAAGGCAGGCGATATGGACTGTAACAATGTGAGAAACATGATAGTGAATAGATGGGTGGGTGGTGTTAAGTTGCCGAAATACTCATTAGATTCATTCATGACCTTGGGACTGACAGGAAACTTCATATAGGAGAGATACTGCAAGTGAGTTGTCCGTTTCAACTTCCTGTCGCTGATAAATATTTTACGCAGCCTTCTGCTGGTTGTTGGAGTCAGAACAGAGGGATGGAGAGATAAGAGAGGGGAAGAAAAGCTTTAATATATGGTCATCATGTCTCCTCTCGGCAGAAACACATAAACCAAGAATCCCAGTCCCAGAGGGACAATTTCGCATTCAGTCAATGAACAATTAAGAACAAAAAGCACAGCAATACAGAGAGACAAAGGTTAAACGTTCACTTTGGAGTTTGTGACTACTATGGCATTATAGAGCAATGTTTTCAAGAGTGGGTCCCTATTTTGTTTGTATTGTGCATGCGGGTTGCACAATTCACATCACGCAATTCCACTGCAATGCAAATGTTTTATGTGGATGGACATTTGTTAACATCAAAGATACAGACAGTGTGTTTCTGGGGAACTTTTGTTTGAGATAACTCCACAGGGCACCTTTAATGCCAACGTCACTGTTTTCGTCATCACATGTCACCAAAACCATCCAGCGAAAGCAGCGAGAAGACAACAGGTGACAACATGAGAGGAAAATAGCTTTCTTTGTGAAACCAGTCAGTTAGGTCTGTTGACTGTTTAAAGAACTTGTGAAACTTAATGTGCAGTTAAGTTTTACCAGTTGTGCTGATTGTATTTGTACAATGACTGTGACAGTAGTTTCCCCTCCATGAATTTGAGTTACTTCCTTTCAGTCGACCTGTCAGAGCACCAGAGGCCAAACAGACCTGGTTGATCCGGTACATCTTTCATCTACAGTTTCAGTCAGTGGTTTAGACAAACTCAGGTGACCTTGTCTGTGTGTGCTTGTGTGTGCGTATAAGCAAGGTGTGGTATATTTTCTATGCATGTCCTGTGTCTGGTGTCCTGCTAAGTTGTCTCTTTGAGGTGAGACCAAAGACACATTTCCTGTCCTGCTGCCACAATAACATTTTCTTCTATATTCCTTTGTTGTCAGGCTCAGAAGACAATCTTTGTTCAATCTACTGTGAAATGCTGAATCAGGTTCACAGTGGGCCATGAAGGGCCCCAGGGTCATGATTTTTCTCTTCCTATCTTCATGTCATTATTTTCAGCTTGACCATGCCCACTGGAGCAGGATCATGACTTTACTCAACAAGTCAAACGAGACCTCCCATCCCCCCTTCCCCTTCTCCTCCCTTGACCAGAATTCTTCCATCTTTGTCACCCATGATCCTTCATACTCCCCTATACCCTTCCCCACCTCCTCGCTGACATCCTCCAACTGCACCAGCTCGTCCTCAACCCCTTCTCCTCCATACAACTTCTACGCGGTGCTGCTGGTGCTCCTGATCTTCTGTGTGGTGTTTGGTAACGTGCTGGTGTGTGTGGCAGTGTCGCGAGAGCGAGCTCTGCAGACAACAACCAACTACCTTATTGTCTCGCTGGCTGTGTCCGATCTGCTACTGGCCACGCTTGTCATGCCCTGGGGCGTCTACCTGGAGGTGAGTGCACTTCTTTTAATTTTTTCAACTTGATGCTTGTTTTTTTTGTTTTGTTGTTTTTTTTTTTAAGAAAAAAATGTCAGTCTGTGGTTTTAACTTCTCAAATATGAGTTTGCTTCTTTTCTTTGTCACATATGGTAGTAAACTGAATATCTTTGGGTATTAGATTATTGGATGACTAAAACAAGCCCTTTGAATAACACACGTTTTTCACTCTTGTTTTGAGATAATGAAGATAACCATTAGCTGTAGATGGATCTATAAAATGTGAGAAAATAGTGGAAAATGACATTTTCCATAAGTTCAAGATGATGCCCGACCAACAGTCAAAAATCCACAGATGTTCAGTTTACCATTTGTGACAAAGAAAAGCAGCAAATTTTTGCTGGGACACATGAATGTTTTGTATTTGTGCTTTGTACAATTATTAAAATAGTTGCAGATTAATTTAGTGCAAAATACAAAGATAAATTGTTTAATTTCATATTAGACAAAGGAAACGAGTAAATTATTTTAGAAGATGGAATCAGCAAATGTTCTGCACAAGAAATGACTCAAATATCAGTTATCAAAAATGTTGCAGATTAATTTCCTGTTGATTAATTATACAAATTAGTTTTAATTAGTACTACTAATTGTTTCAGCTCTGGGCTAGACTATTAATGCCAATAATCACTGGAGCTCTTTCAGCACAGGTCCAAGAAACTGAATAAAATGAAAAAACTTGAATGATCAGTGCAGTCTATAGATGTCTCACAGACTTTGAACAATTAATTATGGAGGGGGAAAAATGAATAAATAATTACTACGTTCAATACTTTGTGGGTAAATTGAGTCATTCCAGAAGCAAATCATGTCTACAGTAAAGAAATAAATGTTATTAAATATTAAGTATACTGCGTAATCCACCCTTGTTAATATTAATGCTGCCTCACCAGTGTTCCAAGTGTTACATTGACCAACATGTGCAAAATGAGCAACAGTATTAAGGTCCTTGCAGTTAAAAATTTAAGTTACTGAAAAGGGTATTAACAGTAATGTCCGTTTGTGTTTGTTTTGTTGAAGGTGGTGGGAGAGTGGCGCTTCAGTCTCATCCACTGTGACATCCTGCTCACCCTGGATGTCATGATGTGCACCGCCAGTATCCTCAACCTCTGTGCCATCAGCATCGACAGGTGCATTCTTCCTTTAACGTTTACTGTTTTTACTCTTTCTCCTTTTTGTTGATGCTTCTCTTATTTATTGGACATTATCTTTCTCCCCTTTCTTACAATGTATCTCTCTCCCTAAAATTTGCTTTTACCAAGAGAAGTATAACAACTTCAAAAACCAAGGACAGAGGACTCAAATGCACATTTCAGGAACAGGCCTTTGAAAGGAGAAACAATCTGTCCTTGCCAAAACTGGTTTGGTACACAGGCAATGTGTCAGAGACAGGCAAACAAATCCGACAGGGAATAGGCAACAGACGAGGTCAGAAGAAGCCGGCCAAAACAACCAAGGCAATGCAAGCAATGCAATGCATGTTGGTTGTACTTGAAGAGGTCTGTGTACCTCAGTCAATTTGAAATTTAGTTAGAAACCAAAGCCACGTGGGTCAATTTGTTTATTGTTTCCAAATGACAAAATTGATGGTGGACAGGTGGGAAGCGGAAAAGAATTGTAAAAAAAACTAATTAAACTAATAAAAGTAGGCTAATGTAATGGGTTGTTGGTATGGTTATTATACACATTACATGGACCTACTTTTAGGACCCACATGGCTTCTGTTTTTCAAACTAAATTAAAAACTGATATACAGACATCTTTGTTCCGTAATTCAATTGTCTTCTTCTTCTTTTTTTTTCCAGATTACAGATCATACCCAAACAAATCACTATAGCAATTCTTTACTTAGTACTCTCCCCTAATCTTGATCATGATTGGTGCAGGTTGGGCTAAACAAAGAGCTAAAAACTTTAAAGATACATCCATCATCCAGCTGTCACAGAGCAGCAGGACAGAAGCCCCAGATACTGTAATCATTTGTTTGACTTTCAGCAGGTAATAATAACAGGTTTCCACTGCGTCTTTTACAGTGTCCTCTTCAATCATTAGTGCTTGATCTTCATAAATCAAGGAGACTATGATTTGTTGTTTCACATCATGCCCTCTTCATTGGTCCACAAAGATGTGACCAGACACCCAGTGGGCAGGCCGTCTACAGCTGTGTCCTAATTACGCTGACAAAGTGACACATTGAGGCTGCACCTGTTTAGACTTGTGAAATTTGGTGCAATAACTAATGACAAAGTCTAACTGCTTTCTCGAAGCTGTAGACAACAAAATATACGCCGGAATAAAAAATAAAACGGAAACCACAAGGGTCTACATTAGGTAAACAGTGCAGGAGTTGCAACCTTTTCATTCACACTCCTGAAATTGTGGGTGAAAGTAATTGGATAAATTAGAATAAACTCAAATAAAGTCATCATATTTCGTGTTTCTACCGAATAATTACTACTGCTAGTTACTAAGTTAACAACATGGCTATAGGATTAGTGTTGCAAACTAAGCATCTTTCTCACCAGATTTGGTGACTAGCGACAAATCTAGTGACTCTTAACCCCTCTCCCTTGAAAAGAGGCTCTAATATTTCACAGAGAGTGTGGCTGTGGCTCTCTGGACAGTCTGTGTTCAGTAAGTGGAGGAGAGCAGCAACACATTCAATCAACCAATCATCAGCCAGACAAGAACAGGAATTGGCTGTGAATACATCCGTAGATGCCATGTTGCAGATTTTCACACCTGAAACAACAAGATTTCCTGAGAAGCGAGTCTGTTGAAAGCTGAGTTTCATCTGTAGAGTCTTGGCTAACTCTGTTTGTGTCCGTGACCCTCTGCCCACAGTTGAGATAACAGCACTTCACTGATGTAGGCTGCTTACACCTGCGCTTATAGTAGACTTCTGTAAGTGGTTTTGACATACTGGCAGGTGTGTGTTTTGCGTCCTTGTAGCTGTGAAAGTGATATCTTCTGTCTGTTTGAGAGGAAATTGGGAATGTGTTTGTATGAAGTGCCTGAGTTTACTTTAAAATATGTGCGAACATGACTATGGGATAATGAAGTCTGAAGATGCATTAATATGTGTTTACACTGTATTGACACTGGTGTTCTAATGCAGGCACCATGAGTGAGTGTGTGAGCAGCATTTTAATATATTTTCTGCGTGTGTTATGCATCTTTGTGTAAATGTACTATTGCAGATACACAGCAGTGGCCATGCCGATGCTCTACAACACCAGATATAGTTCCAGGAGGAGGGTGGCAGTGATGATTGCTGTGGTGTGGTTCCTCTCTTTTGCCATCTCCTGCCCTTTACTGTTTGGACTGAACAACACTGGTAACCGCTACATCTGATCCTTCCTCTCAAGTTTCTCACCACTTACTAGTGTAGGTTGTGTTAACCCAACCCAGGCTATAGAGTCTTAGTGCTCAGTCACTCCACAAAGTGACACAGCAGAAATTTATCCACATGTCCTCACGTGTCTATGTCTATACTAGTGGATACGTTCAATAGGCCTCTAAAAGTCTTTCAAATGAAAATATCCAAAATGAAAAATCACTCCTCAATGGGTCACAAGTCAAAAAGCATGGTCTGGTTGTTCGGAGCACCTGGAGGAAACCCACACAAACACGAGGAGAACATGAAAAGGCCCTGCCCCAGGACCATATTGCTGTGAGGCGAAAGTGCTAATCACTGAGCCACTTTACTAGTGGTTATTTGGTCAATGGCTGAATCATGTCTATGATAATTGATAATCCATCCACTGATGAAGGCCACAAGATGTTGCTGAAAGCTCCAGAAAGTTCCCAGTAAGAGGACCTGGTGCTGAATTTTATTCTCCTATGGGAATCTACCTAGGATCTACCTACCTTATACTTAAATACCCATATAGACATTTTCATATGTTGTTCTCTTTAAGGGAGTGACAAGTGACGTCTCCCCCACAAGCAAGTGGGCACACATAGTCCTTGATTCGTTTTTTTGTCTCACAAAAGGAGCAGGAGTGAAGATGCTCGGCTGCTAACCTCTGCCTGAATGAAGACAGCCGTGAGGAGGGATTTAAGCTTTGAATGTGCTTGCATCGAACTGAAAGGAAACCACTTGAGAATAAGTGGGAAAGAAAAAGTGATGTGAGAGTTGACACCTAGCAGCCTCAGTTGTGGGTCTAAACAGTGCAAGAGTGACAGAAGATAAAAGTAAAAATGCCCCTCTCTCCTCAGTCATGGGTTGCTCATAGATTACAACATACTGTTTGATACTGTTAGTTTTTCATTCAGTTCGTGTGAGAGTGTTTGTGTTTCAAATTGCATGGGCATGCAAATATGTGTTTACAGCACAAACAACTTCACCACAGGGGACATTTTGTAGCTGTTCTAGAGCATTTGAATGTATTACAACACACTTTTTAAATTTAAAGGATTTCTCACCCATGTTGGCGTAAAGGCTGAAGTTTATTCTTGAAATCAACAGTTGAAAAATCTCACTACATTGTTAACTTTTAAGCCAAAAGTTAGAAAAGTAATTTCAACAACTGGGAACAGGGCAAACTTTATTATTTTATCAAGAAAATCTACCTTGTAGCACCTCTAATTACACAATGTATCTAGTCTGTTTAATATTTACAAAATCCAAAGTGTAAAAATGATGTTTTGGTTTCATGAGGAGGTGTGTGCTGGACTATTTTAAGGGCACATTTTTTACCTTTGGACAAAGCCAGGCTTGCCTTTGTTTCCTGCTTTCAACGTACGTTTTGATCTCATCTAACTGTCAGCCAGAGAAAAAATTCCCCAACTACTGAACTATTGTTTTAACATATTTTTGATTAAAACACCATGTTCAGACAGAAGGCATACATTGGCAATAGTAAAATCAAGTTATGGCCTCTGAAAGTTTCTGTACCAAATTAATTCTTGCATTTTCCTCTTTATCTTCCCTTCATTAGCCAGCCGGGAAGGCACCACATGCAGCTTTGCTGACCCAGCGTTCGTCGTCTATTCATCTGTGGCCTCCTTCTATGTTCCCTTCATCGTAACTTTACTGGTGTACGCGCAGATCTGCATAGTGCTGCGCAAACGTGGCAGACGCACAGCCCCACCTCGCAGACACGGTCTGCACACACTAGGAGGAGCTGAGGCAGGAGAAGGTCATCGACACAGGAAGGTAGAATCACAAATGTGGATGTCAATTGGAAACGGCTGTTTTGATGATTCTTAAGCCAATCAATTTACAGAAAGTTTCATACCATATTTTAAAAGTCGTTGTTGAACTTCCTCTACCTCTGACACTGGCACCATCATATTATGTATCAGCTTGTTCCAGTAGGTAGCAGTAGTTGCTACGTAGGTAGCGGCTAATGGGGATCCAATCATATAAATGTCTTGTGTATGATTTCATACACATTTCCCCACATTTCAGCCCAACATATTTGGAGTTTCTGGAAACTTAACTTAAACAAACGTCTATGGTTTTCAATGATGTGTGGCTGCAACAAATGAGATTGTAATGACTGGTTGTAGTTATTTCCACAGTAAAGTCAATCACCAACTCGATATTACAAGCAGTTGAATCAAAAGAACAAAAGCCAACTAGAAATTGTTGTTAAGTTACTAGGAAGCTACTGAGGCCTCTGTTTATTTAGGCCAGTAAGTGAAGGAACAGTACTTCACTGGAATATCTTGGATTGGGCTTTCCTTTCCCTTCCCTTTCAGAATAAGTGTACACAACCAGAGGATGTGAAGTTGTGCACCCTGATCTTGAGGCCCACCACTGCTGGCCCACAGCGCAAGAAAGTGGTGAGTCTCTTGATTCAGTGCAATGATACAACACAAATGGCCTCATTCTCATCACTGTCACTTTCCTCTTTTTGTTGTAGAACCTTCTGCCTCTGCAGTGATTCTCTGCTTTCTTCCTGTTATCCTTTCTCCTTTATCTTTACAATAAAGCATCCGCACCTTTGTTTTTCCCTCAATGCTTACCTCCCTCACCACCCTCCTTCCTCCCTCTCTGTGTGTCAGACCCTCGTAAAGGAGGCGGTGGTTCACCCACTTGAAGTGGAGACAGGTCAGTTCTTGCCGCAGACTGAGCACAGCCTGGCTCCTCCTCCTGTTGTCCAAGCATCCTCCCACTCGGAACGGGCCAGGATCTCCCTGGCCGTCTCAGTTGGACCTGCCCCCGGTTCTTCCCTCAACCGTGGCACGATCGGCCCTGATGCCCCGCCCCCCCCACCCTTGAGGACGGAATGAGGGGCCGCGAGGGATGGAGGGAGCGCAGTGGAGGCAGAGAGAAGTGGGGGATCGTGAAAGATAGAGTGAGAGGGAGGCTGTCACAGCAGAAGGAGCGGAAGGCGACACAGATGCTCGCTATTGTGCTTGGTGAGCGGAAGGAAGTACAGACTAATGGATGAGGTGTTCATCTTTTGACCATGTAGACATATTAAGGACGAGCCGGTCTCACTGTGTGTGTGTGTTTGTGTGCGTGTGTGTGTGTGTGTGTGCGCGCGCGCACAAACCTGCCAACTTATATGTACACAAACAAACTAGTCTACATGAATATATAGGTATACTACATAATTTAGTGTTCCTATCACCTTTTTTATATTCACACATGTCTAGTATTCTCTCAGGATATTGCATAAAGTCTAAAGTAATTATTTGCAAAAATAATGAAAGCATAATTTGTTAAATTCCACCCTATTTGAGATGTGATTTCTCTTACATCGTTATCTAAATGTAGAATTTATTATTTTAATTTTTTTTTGTTTTGTTTTTTTAAAGAAACTAAAAACAATCTACCCAAATCTACTCTACCTGTGGATATATGTAAGCTGTGCCCACAACATGACATAAGAGCATATTCTTTACTGTAAACTGCAGTTTTCAGTGTCTTCTTGAAGCAAGAACTGCAATAACCTTTGACTGAATGACTTAGAATCTAGGTGAAAATGTGTTTTAAATAATCTCAACGCTTTTTCTGTTAAAATTGGTAAGCACTGAATACAATGAGCCTATTCTAGGTTAAAGGTTTTGAAAGTTTTACTTATTTCAGCAAGAGACACATTATCAAATCTTGACATCCATGGCACAATTTTCTATGGCCTCCATAATATATGACTTTTTACTCGATTGCATTTTGTTCCTCACCTTCCTCATTTGTTTTCTGATTTATTTGTCTAGGCTGCTGTGAAACTACAATTGTGATTGGTGACGCTCTCTATGTATTGTTTCAGCAGTTTCAAGATTTTGTGCAAATTACAAATGCTGAAGTTGGAGTGATATTTCATTAATTATATCCCTGCCCAATTTGTGCCACATGTTACATGTTGTGCTAATAACATACAAAATACACTCATCCTCTAATCCATTTAATGTCTGTTTCCAAGGTGTGTTCATCATCTGCTGGCTGCCTTTCTTCCTGACCCACGTGCTGAAGGCCCACTGCAGGAGCTGCTGCATCTCGCCCTCACTGTACAGCGCCGTCACCTGGCTGGGATACCTCAACAGTGCTGTCAACCCTGTCATCTACACCACTTTCAACATCGAGTTTCGCAAAGCCTTCATCAAGATCCTGCACTGCTAGGAGCTGGAGAGATGAGAAGCGTCAGGAGTAAAAAGCCTCTGCTCATAGAAGACTATAGAAGGACAGAAAACCCGGCATACGGAATGTGATTTGACAATCACAAAAGAAAGTGTGTGACAAGTAAAAGATGAACACCTGCATTGTGTACATACGGTCTGAAAAGGGAATATTTGATGGCTGTCCAACTGAAACACATGTGAGACTCCTTGAGATGCGACTGTTTTTTCTAATGCTTGATTTGTGTCAAACTTTCGCTGTTATGTATTCTCTTGCTATCTTGATGAACAGCAACGTGTTATCTGTCCGCATGCGTGTCTTTCTCAGATGACTGGAAGACTCAAAGGCAAGGCAAAGAAAAAAAAAAACTTCCAGCACAAATCTTTTTTTGTTTCCAAGGCTCAATCATTTTTCACACTTTTTGAAAACCCACTGAAGTTACATCAAGGTAGAATTATTAATTTGGTGATTGAGCTCAAACATAAAATCTGACAGTGAAGAGGGCTTTCATATAATTTAATTTGTACATCTGTTTCTTTACATAAGTGTGCAGACATGTAAAATTTGGTGTTGTAAATAACAATTTTACTGCCAGTATTGTACAGACCACTGATAATAATTAAAATATTCTATCATTTCTTATTTTGTGATGAAGTTGTCGTGGAGATTGTATCTTGCTGGTGAGGGATTAAGCAAATAATTGAGTAACAACCAACCGTTGTCTTTGAAGAATTTACGTATTGAAGAGAATAAACAGAAGTATTAAAACATATACAGCTGGTCCAGAGACCTGGCGTCTGGCCCTCAGCAAAGGGATGTATAACATTTACAAAGTGAATGAACATTCAAGGAGAGGAGAGGAACAACAAGAGGGGGAAAACACCAAAACAATCTCACAGCTCTGACCTAAACCCTAGTAAATGTGGACGGACTAACATAAGGAGTATAGAAGAAGGAAAGGTTAAAGATTAAAAACAATACATATATATCTATAAGACATAACAATAATAGTAGTAGTAGTAGTAATAATAATATTAAAAGATCATACATAAAAGATTAAATGTAAGAGGACACAATTTTCTGCCATAACAGAATTAATCACCATTATAATGAAATTAAATGAAAACCATCTTTATTTGTCCCAGAGGAGATTTATTTTCCCTAAGATGCTCAGTATGCATTATATTTAAAAGTTAAAAAAAAGAATTAGAATAAATAAACATATCTGCAAAGTAAAAATTACAATTAGATGCAATGCATGGATGAAAGTGCAACTGGTTACAAAAATACAAACAATTAACAAATCCTTTATTCATTTTAAAGTGAATTTTACTCACCCTCTGCTGTGGCACAGACGTAGTGAAAAGCATTGAAAGCCCCAGTGACTGTGTAAAGTTACGTAGGCATAATGCACATTTGAGCAGTTAGTATTCAGACAGGACCCCACGTGCACACTGAGATTTTCAAAATGCGCCTTCTTTTATTTAAAACCTCCATCCTTCTATCAATATGGTGTAAAATCTTGGCTTTTTTTTTTTAATTGAACTGGATGATGGGGTATATGGGTGTGTTTGTGTATTGTGTTGTGTTGAATATTTAAAACATTCTTTGGCCCTTAAAATATCTTTATGATTACCTTAAAACTCTTACCTAAAAACACATTCTGCCACTGAACACTTGTTGAAAGTTGGTTTAATTACTTTGACATTTATGTTTATGACTGTGTATCAGTTAATACTATTAATAATGTGTAATTTAACTCTTTTTGGAGTGTTGGTACCTTAACACTTCTTAACCTCGACCAGTTTTTCTTAACACTTTTATGTAATGTTAGACTTTAAGTCTCTACAGAAGCCTTAATCGGCCATCAATTCAAATATTTTCGTGATCTTGAGATAACAAAACAGTAGTTTAACATAGTGCTTTAATAGTAATTTCAGTATTGATGTTAGTGTCATGGGTTAACTCATTTGGTAAATCTCAGGGCTTATTCTCTTGGAGTAGTGGGTTCAATCCTCACTTAACACCAACTTGTTTTCTTTTTTTCAAAATCCTCTTCAACAAACTTCTTATGAAGAGACTGTTTCACATGCTCACAATAAAGCAAGTGCTGGACTGGGTGCATCCCGGTGATTGGTCCACATCCATCAAACTATGGACTTTTCATTTCCCCATCATTCCCAGGTAGAGGAAATTCCTGTGCTTCTCATTCAGGGGAATCCATGATTCCCTGTGATTGGATGATGACAGGTGTCAGTGACCATTACCAAGTATTGTGATCAGCATTGCTGCTGTTGCAGTTGTTTCTGTCAGTGGTTAGATCAGCGTACTTCTGGGACAAATCAATTAGGCCTAATATAAGAGACATCCCGGCTAATCTGGGACAGTTGGCAACCCTATGAGTGTTATCATTTGTCTCTTCTGACTCTTGGCAAGAAAGTAAATAAGCATATTTAAAATATTGAGATATTTTTAGGTATGTGTAAAGTTATGAAGACAGCCTGTATCATTGCTCTTTACCTTTACCTTTTAGCCAAATCATACAGTAAGATTAAGATTAAGATTCAAGTGCAAGACAGTTTGAATGTCACAGGAATGGATATAAGTTTAGTTCACTATCTGTGACTGGCAGCTCCCTGCTGTCCTATCAGAAAGGTGCCTCTCTGCACAGGATAAAACAAATGCTATTAAGTTGCAAATGCTGCTGCACTCGAGAGCTGCTGTTGAGAAGCTGAACTAGAGGTCCTTCTCTCCTCGCCTGACTGATACCACAGAAAGGAGAGGCTTGCAGAGCTGCGTGTGTCTGAGGTGTTCAGAACGGTGCAAGTTGCCAGTCAGCCTGATTGGAGTAAACAAGGATTCTGACACCAAGCAAAGCCTGCACGCATTCTTCATTCATTTATTCATGCAGTCAGTGTCATGTGCAGGTGGGGAGGATGCAACTCCAAGCTTATGATATAAACAACAAGCAAGCAATACTCAGATGTTCGGCATAGGAATGTTTGTGTAGTAGAATTATAAAACAGGAGCTCAGGAAATGGTTTAGCAAGAGTGAAAACATAGTGACATCTCACAACAGAACAGTAGTTTGTACATTCTTTTTGCCAGCAATATATATATATAAACACAAGGGAGTCCTGTATAGCAAAGTAAAACACAATTTTTCAACCATGACTTGAACAACAATACATTATGTAGTACAAAAGTTAAAATACAATACAATACAAATTTACACAAATTGTATAAAATATTTACATAGACAAAAATGCAATGAGTTAAATATATAAACAAAAGTAAATGAAAAGACCAAATGAAGAGGTCTAACTACCACTTATCAAAAAAGCAATAAAAACAAGTGCATATGTCTGTTAGAATGTCTGATATTCTTTTTTTGAAAGCAGCTAAAGCATGCCAATCTTAAGCTAAGACTGGAGTTGATTCCAGGATGATGTGCTATAGTGAGACAGACTCCTCTTTCCTGCTTATGCCCTACCTTGCAGAGTAGTCCAGCACCAGATCTTAAGTGATATGTTCTCACATGCAAAGTACTTTACATTTTAAACAATATAAGAAAACAAAAGACCTAAAATTGCTTTATAAATGAAAATGTACCAGTGTAGCATCCTACGTGATTTAAGTGATGGCCACTTTACCATATACTATATAAGATGCAGTGATGTGTCTGATAGCCAGCATTTGTGATAAACCTGAGAGCCGCATGATAAAGAGGGTCAAGCTTTGACAATGTAGATGGACATGCAAATTGATAGATGATATCGCCATAATCTGGCTGAGACAGTTTTTTACATGTAGATTTTAAAAAGCAAGATTTTAATCTACATAAAAATGCAGGGTAAATTGTTTTGTAGCAAGAGCTTTAATGTGTTTTTTAAAGGTAAAACTTTGGTCCAGCCAGATACCCAAGAATTTATTAGTATCAGCAAGTGAAATGGTTTCATCTTACAATATTTAATAGCAAGAGCTGGGACCTTTTTATTACTAGGTGCAATGAAACATCTCAACAACTTTTGTATGGACATGTATGGTCCTCCGAGGATGAATCATACTGACTTTGATAATCCTGACTTCTCTGCGCTACCATGAGGTTGGCCTTTTTTGGTTTTGAGTGAAATGTTTCAACAATTATTGGATGGATTATCATGAAATTTGGTACATTCATGTTCCCTGACTTGTCACCTAGTGCCTTCCTTGGATCTACATTTTAATTTGTTCACTTCTTTGGTTTAGAACCATATACTTGCAAAACTATACTATTCAATCAGCCTCAGTTGTACTTTGTACTTTGTTTAGTGCTTATTAGCAAATAGTAGCATGCTAACACTATAAACTAAGATGGGGAACATGGTACCAACACTATACATCTATCTGTTTTGTTGTTTTAGCAAAGGATGAGTGTTGTTTTTTTTTTACCTATTCATTTAAAAAAAACCTCTTCAGTTCTTTTTTACTTTTTTTTTTTTTTTTAAATGTTGATTTCTCAGCTTGTCTGGTAAAATGTTTTTTGCACTTCAGGTGCACCATGTTTACAATGCTGCAGACACAGTGATATACCTGTCCACAGATGATGTCATCGTCACACCACGACCGGGGATTCTTTGTCAGTGCCAGCACCTCGCGCTGTCTGATGCAGTAATGTGATAGGAAGAACAAAATACCATTGAGAAGACTGGACACACAAACAGAGACTCATACACACAATACACCTATTCAGATTCATAATATGACGATGAATATTAAATACATAACTTTCAACTATGAGAAATTTAACTCCTTGACTGTGTGTATGTGTGGTGTACATTACCCTCTGTTGTTAAACTCTGACCCAAGCTCCCAATTATCCCCATGCATATTTCATAGACTCCAGATGACAAGAGTGCACATATCCATTACTGACCTGACTGCCACAGCCTCACTTGTTCTTACCGGAGGAGAAAGATTATGTTGGGAGACGGAAGAACTGGAAGGAGAAGAAGGATGGTGATGAAGGGGGTGAAACAATGAAAGGATTATGTAGTAACTGAGGAGAGTGGTCAAATCGCAAGAGAAGAGGTGACAAACTACAAGCTGAGGATGACGGGAGTCTCGGTAATGGAGCTGATATCTTTGGATTAAAAATGATCCACTGTGGTAAAAGCTGGTTTAATAAGTGGAGCCACACTCGGAAGAATATTTCCATGCATACAAATGAAGCTGCCACATACAAATCTGTACCGCTGACATTCAGGTGAGCACTGTGTGGGCACTTGAGAGAAATGTTTAGCGTTGGGAAGAGTACGTTGATGTGATGTGAAGATAAGTTAAAGTTATGGAGTGTGTAGCAGTGAACAAACACTGTGTTTAATCACCGATGTCCTTTCTTGATAACTGTAATAAATGGAAGTTAAAACCACTTTTGTAATATAACTCATAATTCTTAAGAGAGTACTATTTGTGGCCATTTCCTCATTTATTAAAAATGTTCTTAGATTTATTAGTATTTGCCCCAGAGCATGCTTGTATTTGGATGTTATTCAAGCAATCACACTAATTTATTTTTTGAAAATGAATTCCATCTCATTAACCAGGTTTTATTTAATAATATCCAATTGACATTTGCTTAAAAAGAGCTAATTCACAAAACC